CAACTAAAACTAAAAGAAAACTAAGAGAAAAAAAAGAAACAGTAAGAGTGTGTCTCTGGTTTCTGTTCTACTTCACTAATCCATGCAGGAAGTTTGAATGCTTACCACTAGTCTCCCCATTGTTAGGGATGAAACCTGCCATTGGGTACAGGATTTTCAATGCTGTAGGTTTCTTTGTTGTTGTTTTTCCTTTTTAAAGATTTATTTGTTTGCCAGGAGGTGGTAATCCCAGCATGAGGTCGGGGAGCGGGGTGGGGGTGGATGAAGGGGTTGGGGGATGGGGAGAGGCAAAGGCAGGCGGATCTCTGTGAGTTTGTGGCCAGCCTGGTCTACCGAGTGAGTTCCAAGACAGCCAGGGCTTGAAAAATCAAAAAACCAAAACAAAACCAAGAAACAAACAAAAAAGATTTATTTATTTTTTTTCTGTGTGTGAGTTTCCTGCCTGCATGTGTATGTGCATGTGTGCCTGGTGCCTGTGGAGGTCAGGAGAGGGTACTGGATTCCCCTGGAACTGGACTTACAGGTGGTTATGAGCTGCTGTGTGGGTTACTGGCACTAATCCAGGTGCTCTGCAAAACCAGTAAGTACTCTTAGTGCCTGAGCCTCTCTAGCCCTGTTATTTTTCTTAAACTAGCAAAACATATGACAGAATTTGCTGGGGTACCCTATTAGGAGGTTTTGTTTACAGACTCAGTCTTCAACTTCTTGTAGGTAGATTTCTATTGTCTAGAGTTAGTTTTATTACTTTATATGGTTCTAAGAAAATTGGCATTTGATCTGGGCTATCTAATTTGTTGACATGCAATTATTTTTGTTCAGTGTGTATGTTCCTAGGGATGGAATCCAGGGCCTGGCACATGCTAGTCAGGTGCTCTACCACTGAGCTACATCCTAGCCCAGATTTGTTTCCTTTTTCATTACATTTATTTATTTGAGGGGTAGGGACAATGTGCATGTAGAGGCCAGAGGACAGCTTTTGGGAGTTGGATCTTTATACCATATGAGTCCTGGAATCAGGTCAGACTTGGTGACAAGCACCTTTACCTGCTGTCTTTTTTTTTTTTCTTTTTCTTTTTTTAAAGCGTATGCCTAAATAAGAATAAAAGATTTGTGTGCAATGGTGAAAGTTATGATGTCTTCTACACTGTTAAATATTTGAAGAAAGCGTGTGTGTGTGTGTGTGTGTGTGTGTGTGTGTGTGTGTGTGTGTGTGTGTTTTGCTTGCCTGTATGTCTGTGGACCATGTATGTGTGTGCCTAGTACTTAAAGAGGCCAGAAGAGGGCATTAGATCTCCTAGAACTGGAGTTACAGACAGTTGTGAGCTGCCATGTAGGTGCTGGGAATTGAACCCAGGTCCTCTGGAAGAGCAGCCAATTCTCTTAACTGCTGAGCCATCTCTCCAGCCCACCTGCTGTCTTAATTAGGTTTTGTATTGCTATGATTAAACACCATGACCAAAAGCAACTTGGGGAGGAAAGGGCTTACACTTCAATGTAACATAGTCTTATTACTGAGGGAAGTCAGGGCAGGAACTCAAGTAGGGCGGGATCTGGAGGCAGGAACTGAAGCATAAGCCATGGAGGAGTGGAGTGCTGCTTACTAGCTTGCTCTCATGTCCTGCTCAGCTTTCTTTTATTTATTTATTTATTTATTTTTTGGTTTTTCGAGACAGGGTTTCTCTGTGTAGCTTTGCGCCTTTCCTGGGACTCACTTGGTAGCCCAGACTGGCCTCGAACTCAAAGAGATCTGCCTGCCTCTCCCTCCCGAGTGCTGGGATTAAAGGCGTGCGCCACCACCGCCTGACTGCTTTCTTTTATTTTTTAAAGATTTATTATGTATTGTGTTCTGCCTACACTCCAGAAGAGGGCACCAGATCTCATTACAGATGGTTGTGAGCCATGTGAGAAATGGCTCAGTAGTAAAAGAACATGTATGTACTACTCCCGCAGAGGACCTGAGTTTGGTTCCCAGCACTCACGTTAGGTAGCTCATAACCACCTTTTAGTCCAGCTCCAGGGAATCCAATACCCTCTTTTGGTCTCCACAGGCACCTGTACTCACATTCACACACTGACACAGAAATGCACAACCAGGTGGTGGCACATGCATTTAATCCCAACACTTGAGGGGCAGAGGCAGGCAGATCTCTGTGAGTGTGAGGCCAGCCTGGTCTACAGAGTGAGTTCCAGACAGCCAGGAATATATAGAGACCCTGTCTCAAAAAAACAAAACAAAACAAAACCCAAACAAATCAAAGAAAAAGAAAACCAGAACAAACAAAAGCGAATGGCAGAACTAATGAACAATGTTATAAATCAAACATTAAAATTAAAATTCCAACTGTGAGCTAGACATGGTGGTGCACATCTCTAATCCCAGCACTCGGGAGGCAGAGGCAGACAGACATTTGTAAGTTAAAAACCAGACTCTACATTGTGAGTTCCAGGACAGCCAAGTCTACAGAATGAGACCCTGTCACATGAAATAGAACAAAAAACAAACAGCAGCAACAACAAAATTCCAACTGTGAAAAGGGAAAACAAAACACTTCATACAATGCACTAAATATACACATGGGGCTTGACAGACTTTAGCAGTTATGAGGGCTTACTTTTCTTCCAGAAGATCTGAGTTCAGTTCAAACAGTGACACCGTGCAGCTGATACCCGCCTGTAACACTAGTTCTAAGTGGCCCCACACCCTCTTCTGGTCTCCAAGAATACTGCATTCATGTGTACAAACCCACACCCAGATACACATATATGCACATAATTTTAAAAATGAAGAAAAAGTACACATGAACATCTTTCTTGGAATATGCCTGCTACTAAATCTGAGGCACTGGCTCCCCAGATCATGTCCAAAAAAATTGTCGAAGTCTTGCCATGGCACACTCTCTACAATATTGTTAAAGCCGTAGAGGGTAGGAATAACTTCAGAGGGCTCAGTACAGCCAAAACAGACCAGGTACAATGAAACCAGCATTCAGAACAAAGGTAATAACAGTAAATGCTTATACTGTAAAAGAAACATCAATAACCAGACTGCCTACCTTAAGAAACTACAAAAAGAAACACAGTTCAAACTTCCCAAACTAGCAAAGAGAGAGATTATAAACTGGGCATTGTGCTCATCCTGTAATCCCAGCAAGCAGGTGGATGGTGAGTTTGAGTCCAACCTGTCCTACACAGTGAGGCTCTTATCTCAAAAAAGTGCACCCCTTTAATCCCAAGGAGGCAGAGGCCAGCCTGATCTACAGAGAGAATTCTAGGATAGCCAGGGCTGTTACATAGAGAAACCCTGTTTCAAAAACAAACAAACAAACAAACAAACAAACAAACAAAAACCCCCAACAATTGCAACAATTGTTGTAAGAAAGATTCTGGGCCAATGACATGGTCCAGCAGGTGTACTAGTTTTTATGTCAACTTGGCACAGGCTAAAGTCATTTTTGAAGAGGGACCCTCAACTGAGAAAATGTTCCCATCTGATTGGGCTGTTGGCAAAACTGTGGTGCTTCTTCTTGAAGCCCCTTGGCTTACATTCTGCTTTCAGAACTTTCTGTTTGTGTGTCTTGGACTTGGAGAACTTTGGGGCATATGGCAGATGGGAACATGGGTGGAGAGAAATGGTACCACATAGGGTCTTGATATCTGGCCTCTGAAACTCCTCCTCTCTGCTCTGTAGCCAACACAAGCCTTTGTAGTGGAGTTGGGTGTCCATGTGTCAGGCGCATCTCCTGAGAGCATCAGCAGCATCCTTTCCGAAGTGGCGGAGTATGGGACCTACTACACACGCCTGAGCCACTTCTCTCTGCAGCCTGTCGTAGGCTCCTCGTGCAGCAGGGGCCTTGTGTTCCAGGTATGCCTCTGTGAGAACCGTGCTACCTTCACAAAGGAATCGAGCTGAGAATTATGGGTTGAGAACCCAAAACCTCTTAAGAAGCTGGGTGACTTGGGACTGTATTACTTCATCTATTATTCCACTGGAACCATGTTGTATTTGGGCAAAGGCATAGAGGGAGGCAGGTGTGAACATTTAGGGAATTTGAGGCCAAGGACCAAGTGCTATGAGAGGTGGGTGAGCCAGGTACAAGCCACCTGCTCCACATAGGCCCCATTGTCTTGTATGGTGTGTGGCAAGGTGGATCTCCTGTTCTAATGAGTTGATTCTCAAAGTACCCACACTTTTCTGTTTATTGAAAGACTTGCAGCTGGCTTGTGTGCTGGTAGAATCTTAAAGGATCTTGGCAGCTGGGGCAGGTGAGGGCAGATATGCAAGCTAGCAGAGTGTTGTGCAGAAAACATGGGCGGGGGTCAGGAGTGCTGGGGCAGGGTACAGCCTAGGAGGAGGGGGCTGCCCGGGCCCTCTCAAGCTCTGATAGAATAAAGTCAGCAGGCAAAGGAACTAGCCCGCATCAGTTTTCAGGGGTGTGTTAGGAGCTTCCAGGCAGCGGGACAAGGAGGGAACCCCTAAGAGGACCAGAGGCTGCAGGTGTTGTAGAATTGGTCTGAAAGGGGAATCCGTGGGAGGGGAGGCTGTGGTTCCTGGATTCCTGGCCTGGAGGCAAGACAGGCCGAGGTAGATGGACGGGGTTTGTTGCAGGGTGGCCGTGTCTGAGTGTGATCAAGGGGCAAAGCCGCATCTGTGGCAGGTCCTAATCCTAACCTACATCTTCCAGTAAAGCATCTTCCTCCTGGCTGGGCTTAAGCCATAAATGCCCACCGCTTGGAAAATGGGGCCCCTGGGCTGTGGCCTGGAAGCACAGCCCTGTTTTCCAGCTTGGGGGTGCCCTTCCAGCCCTTGAGTACAGGCCTGCCTCTGTGTCCCAGCCGCCTGCCTTCTCCTCCTTGCCCACAGGCCTTCACCAGCGGCCTGCGGAGGTACTTGCAGTATTACCGGGCCTGTGTTCTCTCCACCCCGCCTACCCTGAGTCTCCTCACCATTGGCTTTCTCTTCAAGAAACTGGGCCGGCAGCTCAGGTGAACCTCATCACAGTAGCCTAGCATGGGCCTCAGGAGAAGAGGTGGGCTTTCAAAGCAGTAGAGAGCCAGCCCTGCTCCCTGGCGAGGAGGGCCCAGAATAGTGCTTGGTTGTCTGAACAGCCCCTGCACAGCTGGTCACTGTGTGCGATAGAATGTCTTGCTGGGCCCAGGGATTCCTGCCTAAATAGCGCTGCAGGGGAGGGAGGACCCTGCCTCTGACACCCACGAGCCCGTTAGTAAACCACAGGTGTAGTGTCTCCTGGCAGGTGCTATCCGCTGAGAGAAGCCAGGGGTGGCAGGTAATATGGGAGGAGGACACGTTCCAGGCAGCCAAGAATTGGGAAGGTAGAGCCTGGGATCTGGACAGTGTGAGTGGGGGAGTCATGTGAACACAGGCTACGGTGAGGTAGAGAGGGTGAGCGTTCGTGAGGGGGTTGGTTCCCATCCTAGTCAGACAGGGTGGTAACCTATGCCAGGCAGAGGGTTCAGATGGTCCCTAAGAGTGGAGTTAGAGGGTAGGCATGAGGTGGGGAGGCCCAGTGTGGGTGTGGTAGCGCCATGGGAGGACAGCATAGGGGCAATGCTGGGCAGGGTCCAGCAGGCTGCTTAGATCCGGTTTGTGGGGGGACACGTGGTTTTTAAAGCCTGTGTGGACCAGTTGCTTAGGAAAATGAGTATTTAGCTTGCTTGTTTTATCTGGTCCCTGGGACCCTGTACCCCTGTCACCTGATCTGATCTAGCTTCTGTGTCTAGGTACTTGGCTGAGCTTTGTGGTGTTGGCACTGTATCCCTGGCAACCAGCGGAGAACCCAGGCCTGTCTTCCCCACTGTGAGTCCTTCCTTTTCTCAAATGTGAGCTTGCCGGCCTCCCTTGAATTGTGCGTTCTTGTCATGTTTGGAGGTGTGGTCTCTAGCCATGTTGTCTAGCCACCCTGCTTCTTCCTGCTGTTTGTAGGGAGTGAAGCTTCTGTCCTACCTCTACCAGGAGGCACTGGATAACTGTAGTAATGAGCACTATCCTGTGTTGCTGTCCCTGCTGAAGACCAGCTGTGAGCCCTACACACGGTAGGTGGTTGGTGCCCATGCTGGCCATGCCTTCTCTCCCTGCAGTGGATGGGGGAGGCTACACTTAGACCAAGTATGTATTTGGGCTTCCTATTGATCCACTGAGTGCTGGGGTCCGTGTGAAACATACTGGACAAGTGGACCTACTAGGTAGCAAACGATACCCACAGCTGGCAGGATCTGCTGGCAGTGTCCTGTTTCACTCTGTGGACTGGCCACACCCACCCATGGGCATCCGCAGCCGCCTAACTCCCCACACCCTGCCATGTCCCATTACCCCACAGGTTCATCCATGATTGGGTGTACAGTGGAGTCTTCAGAGATGTTTATGGGGAGTTCATGATCCAAGTTAACCATGAGTACCTCAGCTTCCGAGGTAAGTAACCATTGGCTGCTAGGCTGTGCCCACTGCCTGGGATCAGGGCCATTGTAACTGCAGATCATCATGTTCTGTCCATGTTCTGTCCAGACAAGTTTTACTGGACCCATGGCTACGTGCTCATTTCCAAAGAGGTGGAGGACTGTGTTCCCGTGTTCTTGAAACATATTGCCCACGATGTGTACGTCTGTGGGAAGACCATCAACCTGCTGAAGCTCTGCTGTCCCCGGGTGAGAGGGTCCTGCTAGCTGGGTCGGGGGCTTGTACAGGCGGGAGACCAGCTCTGTAGGGACTGTGTCTGACTGGGAGGCCCTAGTGTTTGCTGCCACGGTCCTCTGAGTGGAGATGAGATCCCACGGTACTCCTCAGTTTCTCGTTCCGCTTCTGCTCTAGGCCCCATACATGGTGTCTCCATCGTTGGGGTACTTGCTCTGTGGAATCATCAAGGGTTTCTGCTCCCCCCAGATTGAGGAATGAACTTTTCAAGGAAGAAATGGCTGTCCTCGTCTGTCACTGAAAACTCAGTTGCAAGGCAGGGCTGGTTTTGCTCCTGGCCTTGGCCACGTTCTCACTGCAGCCTTTCCTCTCCGCAGCACTATCTCTGTTGGTCTGATGTCCCCGTCCCTCGTATCTCGGTGATCTTCTCTCTCGAGGAGCTGAAGGAGATCGAGAAGGACTGTGCTGTCTACGTCGGGCGGATGGAGAGAGTTGCCCGTCATAGCTCCATCAGCAAGGAGGAAAAGGTAGTTGGTTGTGGGGCTTTGGCTTTCTCTGCACTTCCCCTCACTTCTTGGGGTTCGGGACGGATAGAGCTCCCACACCCCAGTGGTGGGCCATTGCCACTCAGCAACTTCTGCCTGGTGCCCAGTGGGCAGTAGGAGCAGCCAGGCAGACTCAGGGCCAAGAAGTGCTGGGGGGAGGGGCGTGTAAGGCAGAATGGGTCTTTCTGCTATCTGTCCTGGGAGTATGTTTAGGTGGGGACACCCAAGGTGCTTGGCTGTGTGTCAAGGGAAATTGGAATAATCTGGTGACAGGTATTCAGAGCGGGGCTTTGTTCCCCCCTCCCCGGGTCGAGGTGGCCTTGCCTGCACTCCAGGTTTTGCTACATGGGTGGCTCCAGCTGGAAGATCCAGGCAGCAAGGCCTGAAGGTCCTCCACTTGGGTAGTTTTCCAAATAGTGGGTGTGTTCCTGGAAGCAGCCCCGTAACTCTCCAGCGTACTCCAGGACAAGACTACTATGACAGTGTGCTCTAATGACTGGCCAGGGCCGATCTCAAGAACTTTCTCCTAGCTTGGTCCTAATGGGCAGCAGGAGAGACCAGGCAAGGACAGACTGAGGAGCAGGAGTGGTCCAGGAGCCCTTTATTTATCTCTGGGTACATAGTCACCTCCTATTCACTGCTCCAAGGGGGAGGCCTCCCTGTCTTCCCAGCCTTGGGTGAGGCATTCCCTGCTAACATTCTGTGTAGGTTGGGAGGGGTGTCTGTTGACAGTGGCCAGCAGCAGGTTGTTTTAGAGAACTAGGGTAGTGTTCTCTCCACACGATCCTAGGAGAAGGACAGGGCATTAAGATAGTTTGCTTATTGCCTTTAGGAATTGCGTATGGAAATTGCAAAACAAGAACTAATTGTCCATGCCCGGGAAGCAGCATCTCGGGTCCTGAGAGAGCTGAGTGGTGAGTGCAGTTCCAGATCTCCCTTCTGCTCTGCTGGGGCCCCTGCCGGACTCTTCACAATTGCATATGCCTCTCACCTTCTCTTGAAGACCGGCAGATGTCAGAACAGATGGCTGTGGACACCAGGAAGCGAGAGCAGTTTCAGCGGCTGAAGGAACAGTTTGTGAAGGATCAGGAGGTGGGTGGGGGGTCTGGGTTCTGGGTGGTTCTGGCCCTGGAGTCTTTGATTTAGTAAATGAGGCTGTGTGTGTTGTGTAGCGACGCCTGGCGGCTAGACAAGAGGAGCTAGATGATGATTTCAGCTATGCCCGTGAGCTCCGTGATCGGGAGAAGAGGCTCAAGGCCCTGGAGGAAGAGCTGGAGAGGAAGGCCAGGTAGGGCTGTGTGGCAGCAGGTCCCACAGCGCTGGTTTAATCTGAACTAGGGATGGTTTACTTTGTCTTTTTTTTCTTTGATGCTAGGGAATCCAAGGCCCCAATGTTGCTAGGCAAGTGCTCTACCAGTGAGCAACACCCCTTACTTGTTATTTTGGCTTTTAATCTGAAAAATTACAGACCTATGTTAAGACAGAAAGATAGTAAGTCTGCTGGACCAGCATGCTGTCCTGGGCTAAGGGGTCAGAGCCCATAGGCTGTGCTCTGGGGTCTAGTCCCAGTGCACGCAGTGTGTTTGGTGTCCTGACTGTTTATTAATAGTGTTCATTTTGTGGTGCTATGGAGCCAACTTTGGGCCTTGAGCGTACAAGTAAGCACTACTATTGAACCACATCCCCAAGGTCTTGCTGTGTGGCCGGCTGGCTTAAATTTGCAGTCCTCCTGTCTCTGCCTTCCTGGTGCTCTGATTACAGGTGCATGCCACTCCACCTGGTCTGTTCATCTTAAACAGCTTCCATTGGTTTTTTTATTTAACAGAGCAATGGGCCGTTAATCTAGCATAGTTCTTGAGTCTGTTCCTCTTTGTCTCATTAGCTTGTCCTTGAAACCAGCTCATTGTTTCAGTGGGAGGCTTTTGTAGAAGGGCCTGGCCACATCTTGTATGGTGCCCTTGGAAGCTCAGCTGTTGCAGCCTTAGATCCTGCTTACAGAGGAAAGGAGGGGTTTGCCCCCTGCATGTGCTCTGTGCATACACACATGTGAGTAGGTACTCTATTCACATAAGAGGAATCCAGGCATGGAGGCCCTGTTCCTGACTTCTGCCAGCCAAATTGGAGATGGCACATTGTGCCTCAATGCCTAGTGGCTGGAGGCTTGGAATCCCTGGGTTTGCGTTGATTTTGTTCTTTTAGTCAGTCTCCAGTTCTCTTGGGTTTGAACTTGCAGATGGGAAGAGGTCTGCTGTGAAGTAAAGAAAATGTGACCTGGTTCCACTGGGCTGGTCCTCAGCCACCTGCTTGTTCTCTTGTCTCTGGCCATGTACATTTTTTCCATTTTTCCTCTGGTCATTTGTCCAACAGCAGTTGCCAAAGGGGCCATCTGTCCATTGGAGCCTTTCAGTGTGGTGGGCAGCAAGGCCGACCCCGGGAGACCAGTCTGTGGTGGGGAAGATGGAGAGCAGGAGTCTGGGGAGGGAGCCTACTTGGAGGACCATCTTAGCCTGAGTCTGCCCACCAGATGGTGCAGAGTGCTTGTAGTGACCATGTCCTCTCTGCATGTCGCTTCAGGCAGGCACTGGTTGACCATTACAGCAAGTTGTCTGCAGAGGCAGCTCGCCGAGAGCAGAAGGCTCTGTGGAGAATCCAGAGGCACCGGCTAGAGAGCGCACGCCTCCGTTTCCTCCTGGAAGACCAGAAGAGCATTCAGGTATGGCGGCGGTGGCAGCTGCGCCTGCACACAGCCGCGCACTCGTGCCTTCTTGTGCAAGGGTGCAGATGGCACTTGCTGCGGCTCAGGCTTCCAGCCAAACCCGGACAGCGAGTAGGCAGCAGGGCCAGTGGCATCTGTGATGGGTGAGGGGCACTGTGTGAAGGCTGTGGTGTGTGCCAGCTTTTGGTCACTCTACAGAGCTGCTGTATCTTCCTGTTGACTTGAATTTCAGGAGATGCTGAGAGACATGGAGGCTCACCCGCCCCAGGAGCCGCTGAGCGTGTTCCCAAGCACATGCCCTCAGGTAATAGGCTCTACAGGATCTTGGGAGCCCTGCTGGGACTCTGAGTTAGAGGCTCTGGCTTGGTTGTCCCGTGTCCCTCAGAACTTAGTAGGTGTCGGTCACTGTTGCTGAGCTCACCTTGGGGACACAGGGTTAAATGGCTGGAGGGATTCAGTATGTGCTGTGTGTCAGGTCCCATCTCCAGGTCCTGAGCATGCAGATGAAGGCCATAGCTGTGATCTGGGGTCTGCAGAACTGCGTTGGGATCATCCAAGTCCACCAAGTGCATCAACACCATCAGCCCTCCAGTCTGCGGCAGAGGGAGTGGATGACCCTGGTGCTGGGCAGGCAGAGGGAGCTGGGCCCTTCTCTCCTGGTCTCAGCATCACAGACTTTCTGCCCGTGGGCCCTGGGGCCGAGCAGCCTGTGGATAACACTGGAGCTCCCTTCTTAGAGGTGGCACTGCAGACCATTTCTTCAGACCTGTCCCCTGTAACTCCTGGGCCAGCACTCACAGCAGCTGACCCCCAGCCTATCCAGTCAGAGTATGATTTCAATACCATCCTGAGGCCAGCTGTAGCCACCTCTTCACCAGGACCCTCGCAGGATGTCCAAAACAGTTTGGACAGTGAAAAGCAGCATCTATTGGACATGCCCACAAAACTGGATGCATGTGTCCATGACATGCAAGAGACTTTGCCTTGCCCACATCCACTCAAACATGTCACTTCTGAGGAGGGGACCTTCCAGCCTGTGGGGCAGCTCCTTGAACACATATCAGGGACTGCTGTCTCTGCAGAGAGCCTTGCTTCTGGCATGGCTCCTTGCCAGCCACTTAGCATTTCCGGATGTGTGTCAGATGCCAGCATCAAGCAGGGGGACTACATGTCAGACGTGGCTCTTCCTCAGCCACAGTGGAACATCCATGGACATTTGTCACATGCCAGCACTGGAGCTGGGGAGAATGTGTCAGAAGTGGCTCCTTCCCGGCCACGGTGGAATGTCCACGGACATGTGTCAGAGGCCAGCATCAGGATTGGGGAGAATGTATCAGATGTGGCTCCTTCCCGGCCACGGTGGAATGTCCACGGACATGTGTCAGAGGCCAACATCAGGATTGGGGAGAATGTGTCAGATGTGGCTCCTTCCCGGCCACGGTGGAATGTCCACGGACATGTGTCAGAGGCAAGCATCAAGATTGGGGAGAATGTGTCAGATGTGGCTCCTTCCCGGCCACGGTGGAATGTCCACGGACATGTGTCAGAGGCCAGCATCAGGATTGGGGAAAATGTGTCAGATGTGACTCCTTCCCGGCCACGGTGGAACATTCATGGACATGTGTCAGATGCCAACATCAAGATTGGGGAGAATGTGTCAGATGTGACTCCTTCTCGGCCACGGTGGAATGTCCATGGACATGTGTCAGAGGCAAGCATCAGGATTGGGGAAAATGTGTCAGATGTGACTCCTTCTCGGCCACGGTGGAATGTCCATGGACACGTGTCAGATGCCAGCATCAGGATTGGGGACAGTGTGTCAGAAGAGGCTCTTCAGCCACATGGATGTCCTCAGCCTCCCTTGATTCTGGAGGAGCCCTTGCCAGAAGCTGAGCCTGACCTCCTCACGCCCCAGCAGTGCCCTCCTGCCTGTGTGTCCCCGTCAGGCCTTCATGTGGAAGCACAGAGCCCTGTTGGGGAAAGCGGGCCACAGCTACCTGGAGAAACGAAGCCCACCCTCTGTTCTAGCCTTGGCAGCACAGAAGAAGGTAGTGTACAGACCAAGCCCCCTGCTGTGGCTGAGCCTAGCACGCTGGGAAATGGCATCCCTGAAGAGACAGGTGAGAGCGGGCGGTGCTGGTCAGGATGGGACCATGGCACACAAGAGGCGGTGTCATGATGACTTCTGTGACCCTTTCTGTCAGCCAGATTGCCTTGCTGCTGTGGGGGCTCTGGAGGAGTTCTCTGGGCCAACCTCACTGTCTCCTCAGCAGGTGCTGGGCACTGATGGCCCCTACCCACTTTGTGTCTTCCTAGGTCCAGGGAGGAGGAGGGATGCAGAAGACCTCTCTCCATGGCCTCCAAGCTCACAGGTCAGGGAAGCATGTAGGAAATGGCACCACATGGGACTCCCACACGCCCACTTTCACCACAAGCAAAGTGGGGGGCAGGGCGTAGTACACCGGGTGGGGTGCAGTTCTTTGAGGTTGGTCTCTTTTTAGGAAGACACAGCGGTCCCAAGCAGCCCAGGCCCTAGTGAGGAGGTCTCGGACACAGAGGCTGAGGCCAGACGGTGGGGCAAGGAGCAGGCCTATTTGGCAGACCTCACAAAGCTCTACCACCTGGAGCAGTACCCAGACAGCTACGAATCCATGTGTGAGTGGGCCAGCTGCAAGGGCGGTGGGGGCTGGGTGTGCGCTAGGCCAGTGTATCCCCAAGTTTGAGCGAGTCTGTTTTGTTTCCCACAGCAGAGCCTCCTGTGGCTCACCTGGTCCATCACATGCTTCCCCAGGCCTTTGCTTTCCCCGTGGACCCCCAAGTTCAGTCAGCGGTGGATGAGACTGCAGTGCAGCTAAGTGAGCTGCTGACGCTGCCTGTGCTGATGAAGCGCTCGCTCACGGCACCTCTGGCTGCCCAGTGAGTGCTGCCACCCGCCCTTTCCTGCCCGCCACCTGCCCTTTCCTGCCACCCTAACCTCCAGCTTCCCCCCAGTGTCAGCCTGGTGAACAAAGCTGCGGTCGACTATTTCTTTGTGGAGCTGCACCTGGAGACACATTTTGAAGCACTGCGCCATTTCCTGCTGATGGAAGATGGAGAGTTCGCGCAGTCCCTTAGTGACCTGCTCTTTGAGAAGGTCACTAAGACGTGGAGTTGGGATCAGGCTGGCCTGTAAAGCTGTTGTGGGTAGGGTGTGGGTGGCTGCTGGCCTCAGGGCCACCCACACAGAGATGCCTAGCAACATGACAGTGCTGCTTCGGAAGTGGGGAGGGACAGTACAAACCCGGGACTCCTTGAAACATTGTCTCTCCACTTCCTCAGCTCGGGGCTGGACAGACGCCTGGGGAGCTGCTCAACCCACTGGTCCTTAACAGCATCCTGAGCAAGGCACTGCAGTACAGCCTCCACGGGGACACGCCACATGCTGCCAACCTGTCTTTTGCCCTCAAGTACCTGCCTGAGGTGTTTGCCCCTAATGCGCCGGATGTGCTGAGCTGCCTGGAGCTCAGGTACAAGGTCAGCAGTGTCCTGCCACAAGCGTGTGGGGAGGTGTGTCCTGCAGCTGCAGGTGCTAAGTGGGGCTTCCTGAACAGGTTGACTGGCCCCTCAACATCGTTATCACCGAGAGCTGCCTGAACAAGTACAGCGGTATCTTCTCCTTCCTGTTGCAGCTGAAGCTCATGATGTGGACACTCAAAGACATCTGCTTCCACCTCAAGCGCACAGGTGAGGCCTGGCCTAAGTCCATCCCGTGTGTGGCTGCAGGCTGATGCTCACCCTGTTTGTTCTCCAACAGCCCTGGTGAGCCACACAGCTGGATCAGTGCAGTTCCGCCAGCTGCAGCTGTTTAAGCACGAGATGCAGCATTTCGTGAAGGTCATCCAGGGCTACATTGCTAACCAGATCCTGCATGTCAGCTGGTGTGAATTCAGGGCCCGGCTAGCTGTAGTAGGTGACCTGGAGGAGATCCAGCGGGCCCATGCCGAGTACCTGCACAGGGCTGTTTTCAGGTGAGACAGGCCCCCCTGGACTTGGGTGTGCCCCGGTCAGGCTGGGCAGATCACCAGCAGCTCTACCCTCCACTAGGGGCCTGCTGACTGAGAAGGCGGCACCAGTCATGAACATCATCCATAGCATCTTCAGCCTGGTGCTCAAGTTCCGTAGCCAGCTCATCTCCCAGAGCTGGGGCCCGGCTACTGGCCCCCGTGGTGCCGAGCACCCCAACTTCCCGCTCATGCAGCAGTCCTACAGCACCTTCAAGTACTACTCCCACTTCCTTTTCAAAGGTGAGTTCCCCTGCCGGGCTGGGCTGCTGCTGGGCTGGGCTGCTGGGGTGGCAAGGCACAGGGTGGGCAGGAGCCTGAGAGTTGGATGCCTCTCCAGTAGTGACCAAGCTTGTGAACCGTGGCTACCAGCCCCACCTTGAGGACTTCCTGCTTCGAATCAACTTCAACAACTACTACCAGGACTCCTGAGGACAGACAGGACCATGGTGCTGCATCCCGTCTGACCTGGCTACAGCAGTGAGCACCCAGACAGACCTGAAAAAAGCTGCTTTATTTAGAGGCCTAGGAGATTGAACAAGTGTCAGGCCCAGTCCTTTGGGGCAAGATGCACAGACAGGCTACAAGGCTAATTCATCCCTGTTTGCATCGCTTATAAGCATGAGACTGAGTTCCTCTACTGGCATGAAGTACCATGTGCTGAGGGCATGTTGAGTGCTAGGCCAGGGCAGTACTGCTGAGGTGGTATCAGACAGAGACGGGTCAGGTTTGACTGGAGGTCTCTGCCATCATGGAGAGACCGTGAGGGTGGGGATCCCATGGTCTCAGCAACTCAGCAGCACTGGGGACGCCTCGGGAGACTCCAGACACGTGGAGGACACCGAGGCCTTTATGAGGATCATGTTACACAGAGTTCTGCCGCCCAGAGGGGTGGCCTGCTGCTGTAGGAACACTGCTCATCAGTGGCCCTTGCCGCTGCTTCAGGGCCTGTGGCCTCAGTGGCCACCTCTTCGCTGTAGTAAGGAGACTCTAGCAGCTTCAGGACACGCCGCACCTAGAGAACAGGTGAGAGGAATTGGAGTGGGTATATTTAATGACCGCCCTTCCTCCCGGGACCTAACAGGCACAGGTGTGTGCTTACCTCGGAAAAGTCTCCGTTCTCAGCAGCTTCAATGGCATTCTGTGCAATATAGTTCCTTAGGATGTACTTGGGGTTGTTGGCATGCATGATGCGCACACGGTCTGCCTGCCAGGCAGCGGTGTCTCCGACATCCTCCTTCTCCTTGTCCAGACGGGCTCTGGAATCATATCCCTAGCTGGCTTTTTCCAACAAGACCAGCTTGCTCCAGCCCCAATTCAGGGCCATCTGCAGCCACCCCTGTGTGCCATTGTGCCAAGGAGCCAGCACAGGTGGCCCTGGAAGCTGCCTACCTGTACTCCTGCAGCCAAGTTTTCCAGCGGTCTGTGTTCTTGCTCTGCAGTTCCTCGGGGCTCAGCTGTTCCAGCCGGGACTGGTGTTCCACACGCTCTAGCTCCTTTGTGACATTTGCTTGAGTGCCGATGAGGGCAAAGAGCTGTGGGTTCGACTGTGCAAGCATCAGCATCATAGAGAGCTGCCTGCAGGGAGGGGTACAGGAAGTACCTCAGCTAGGGGCAGTACATAGATTTTGCTGTGCTGTGAGGTCGGCTGCTTTGTAGATAGCCACATGACTCAGGTGCTGAGGCAACTTCCAAATTGCCCTGGACCCGGGCGTTGCAGTTAGCTGAGGTCAGGGACCACGATGACCCAGGTGTGTTCCTACCACATCTCAAGTGCCATTTCCTCTGAATGGTTACTGCTCCATTCTCCACTAAATTCCTTCTGCATGACTAGCCCTTGGGTTGTTACTTGAAAGCCTGTAAACACCGCCACCACCATTTCCCACATCTCTGCACAGTGTGCACACCCTATGGGAGATGCTGTGGGAAGACACAGTCTGCTTGGCATCTCCGTCCCAGTCCACCTGTGCCCTGCTTTCTCCATGTTGGTGCCCTGGTCCCCAATGCTACCGAAATGTGACCTTACTACATTTCATGCCTAGGAATGGGGCAGCTGCCAGGGCCTCAGGTGTACCTGTGAAGGACTCTCACAGGCAGACCCCAACCTCCCTGCTGCTTCCCTTCTGAAACCAAATTCCAAGGGTATACACTCACCGGGGATCCATCTGGGGGCGGAAGGCCAGCTTCAGCTCTTCCAGAGAGGCACACTGGGAGGTCAGCCTGGTTAGGAACTCGGTTGAGTCTGATGCTTCAGCTGGGAAGGAGCTCAGCATGTAGAAGGTATTTGTGAAGTCAGCACCTGAAAAATGAGCTGCTCAGGTGCTGGGAGGCAGATGCTGGCTCCCATTTCCATAGCCGCCAGACATCTGATACAAGTCCTTTGTAGGTGACGTCACCTGAAAAATGGATCGACACTGACAGAAAACAGTGCCTGCCTGGGGACTCCCTGGGGCACCCCCCCCCCCCCAACACACACACCCGGTACAGGGTAGCTGTCAGCCTCACCTGGCAATCAGTCACTTGGAGCCATGCAACTCCTAAGCAACATATGAAAAGAAGTGCAAAAAGAGGGCTGGTAGGATTGCTGAGTGGACAGCGGGGCTTGCTGCCATATGCACTGGCCCAAGTTTGATCCCCAAGACCCAAATCATGGAAGGAGAACTGGCTCCTGCGAGTTGTACTTTACCTCTGCTATGTACACTGTAGTACACGTGGAACACAGTAATTTCTTAAAAATATAAGATGAGGCCAGGTGGTAGTAGCACATGCCTTTAATCCCAGCACTCAGGAGGCAGGCAGATCTCTGCACGTTCCAGGACAGCCTGGGCTACACAGAGAAACCCTGTCTTGGCAAACCAATTTATAAAATGAGAAGTCAGGTGTGGCTGTATGTGGGAGGCTGTCAAGTTCCAGGCCAGCCTAGGCTACATAGCAAAACCCAGTTTGTCTTGTGCTCACATGCTGTGGTCCATGTGTGGACGTCAGAAGACAGCTTTGTGGAGCAGTTCCCCCATCTTTATAGGGTTCTGGGAGTCAAACACAGGTCTTCAGGCCTTGTAGCGCAAGCTTGACCTGATGAGCCACCTCACCAGCCTTCCCAGTCTCTCTGTGATGCGTGCACACGAAGGCCAGAGCAAGATCTCTGCTGTCTTCCTCTACTGCTCTCAGCCTGGCCTCAAGACACTCACCTGGAAGCACCCTCCCCCACCCTGTAATGTTGAGGTCACTGCCTTTTTATGTGGGTGCTAGGAAGTAGAGCTTGGGTTCCCATCCTTGCAGAACAAGCACTCTTATCCACTGACCTATGTCCCCAGCCCAAGACCCAGTTTCAAAAAAGAAGATGGCTCAGTGGACAGAGGCCCTTGTCACTGACCTGACAACCTGTGCTCACTACCCGGGATCAACATGGTAGATGGGAACTGACCCCTGCCAACGACCTCCATGCTTGTGGGGCCATAGGCACACTCCCCTTCATACACAAAAATAATTTTAAAAAAGGCCGGGCACTGTGGTGGCACATTTTAGCACTCCAGGGACAGAGGCAGGCAGATCTCTGAGTTTGAGGCTAACCTGGTCTACATAGCAAGTTCCAGGCCAACCAGGGCTACACAGTGAGACCCTGTCTCAAAAAGATGAAAACACTTCCAGAGTAATGGAGAAAATGAGACAAAAGAGAGATAAGACATACAGAAAACAAACTTGTCAGGGATTAGTTGTAACTAATGGATTAACCATCCCTGCGATGGAGAGGCAAGTAGACAGAGTGGAGAAGAAAGATGTGATTCAGCCTGTCTATAAAATGCCTGCTTTAGAGTCAAGTCTGTTGAAAATGAAAGATAAAACCCATGCAAACAGGATCTACAGAGGCTGAGGTGGTGGCACATGCCTT